TGGATTACTATAGCCAAATTAAGGATTTAAATCAAAGTATTGCACCATTGGATTCTAATGATATGTTCATCAAAAGTCAAAGTGAGGAAACTTAAGTCAACCATCTCTCCCTTATTGATTTTACATCAAACCCTTATTTTTGTTGAGATTGTCTATTTAAATCATAGTTAATTCTAGTTTGTTTCAAGTATTTCAAAACACCAAAACCCCCCATTTTATCTTTATTGTTATTTTACAAGTATTTTTACAAAGAGATTTTTCATAGAGTTATATATTGAATCAATCTTCGTGGATTCAACCCGTTTACCACTATACACTATTTTAGTGTGCAATAACTAGGGTTATTAATTTTGTTGGCCTCGACAACCACCAATGGACTTAATGGACTAAGCCCTTAATGGGTTAAGTGAGAAACACTTATCCCTAATCGTCATTTTACGTGAAAACCCTAATTCACTTGGGCTTTAAGTTGGGCCTTTCTATTGGGCTTTGATGATTGGGTTATTAATGGGCCATCTAAAAGAAAGCAAATAAACTAGAATAATTTAATGGGCTTTAGGGTAAGGCCCATGTTTGGGCCATTAGAAATGCCAAATGTTTGGACTGAACTAAATGGTTGGGCCCAATTTGGAAAACTAGGCCATATGTTGGGGCTTGACTCATAGTTGACTTTTGGGCCTTTGAATTGGGCCTTAGGCTTGAATCAAGCTAAGATAGGGGTAAAGCAGTCTTTTACCCCTAGCATGGACTTATGGGTATATGTTGGGACCTAATTGCCGATTAGGGGTTATTTTGATGATTGACAGTTTGAGAACCTGTCATCCAATAGCTAGAGTTTTGTCTACGGGAATTCAGCATTGTGAGGTGAGTAACTTTCCAGTAGAAGTGGGTCTAAGGCCCCAAGACCAACCCACTAGTAAGAGTTATAGTAGATATAATTGTCTTTGTGATAATTATTCGGTATGTTGTTATGATTATGTGCTAGCATGATATGATAGTAGGTAGTAGGGGAATAGTCCCCTTGTTATGTTCGTAAGGACCGGAGGGTAGGTCAGGCACCCCAGATATTCCTGACAATATGTTTATCCTATGTTATTATGTGGTAGTGGTATGGGGTGAAATAGTCCCTGTAGACGGTTGGGATAAACCGAAGGGTAGGTTAGGTACCCCAGAATGGCCTGATAGGGTGGGTCGAGCACCCTAAAAATGTTTGACATGGGTAAGTCGGGCACCCCAGCATGTCCTAACAGGGTAGGTCGAGTACCCCACAAATTCTTGACATGGATAGGTCAGGAACCCAAGAATTGTCTGGCAGGGTAGGTTGGGCACCCCAGAATTGCCTGGCATTGTTATGTGGTATGTGGTATGATGGGGGAACTCACTAAACTTTGTGCTTACGGTTTTCATTTTTGGTTTTAAGTACTTCGTTTTTAAAGTAAAGGAGTCGGCGATCGCAACGCATCACACTATGTTTTCTGCACATGAGATATTTGGGATTACACTCTGATATTGTTTTATGATATCATGCTTTGATTATTGTCACTTTGGTTTTGACATAGGATGTTTTATAGATGTTTTTATATTGTTGGTTTTATGAATTGTAAATATTGAAAACAAAATTTTTGGTCTTGAATTTTGGAATGTTAAAAGTTGATCTGTTCACAAAGGAGGGACCATAGAGAGGCATAGTATGCGTGTTCATAACATGGTCTGGCTGATGTTTAATTCAAATGGTTAGTTTATTACTTGAAACAATATATAATGACTAAAGTCATAATTATTATGGTGATTAAATAATAGAGATTATTTATGTTCAATAGTTTTAAGACCATAGTTAATTAGTTTATTATTATGTTTCACTTTACATGTTTTATTTCCTGAATAATTTGATTATTTAAAGCTCCACAATTATTTAAAGCTCCACAATTGTTCATACTTAGGAAGTAAGTAGTGAATGAAGACTGTCATGAATTAGATTATAGATTTTCTAAGGAGTTTAAACATAGCAGTTGTGTTGCTACAACTTTCATGAGTACTTAAAAAATGGAGATTTGAGTATTAGATAAACCCATGCTTAGAGAATTACTTCATGAATTATATCATGAGTAATTCTAAGAGGATAATATCTTATATTCTTGAAATGGAGATGTATGAGTTGTAATTTACAAGTCGGTTGTGCATTGGTGTTGCGAAAATACATCAGTAACATGATGTTATAAAACGTAGTATCATGTATGATTTGATGGGTAAAAGATACAAGCATATGAGTTCAAATTTATTCGTTCCTTTTTCTCTAACAGAAAAAGTGATATCTTTGGGCCCTTCGATGATTTGATGTCAACACCTAAAGTGTTTGGTCGAGCCCTGACTGAATTGATGTGTTCAATTAGTAGTCTGAATTTAGTCGTCATAAATCATGAAATTGGGAAACAAAATCTTGGACTATGAGATCTATTCTAATCCATGTCTCATGTTCATATGATATCTTTTAAAACAGATGAATATTTGATCACTTATCTTAGGGTCAATATCTGATCGGATCAGAGCTCGACAGTTGCTTTGGAAAGCACACTTTGATGTTTAATTTACAAGTTATACATGTAATTTGGTTTTAGACTTATCTAAGTGGGAGACTATTGGATTAGGCGTCTAAGCCAATAAATAAATTAGTATAATCTTGAATTATTTGCAAAGTTCCTTTTGGGTTGCCCTCAAACCTAGTAATTGACTAGAATGCTTTTTGGAGAGAGAGCGACTGATTTGTTAACTTATTATATGATTCATAAATTATTTAGAAATCAAATATATATATATATATATATATATATATATATATATATATATAATATTATGAGATTAATATATCCATTAGAAATAATATTATTTAATTAAGAATTAATTAGAAATTACTTGGAATTGATTTTAGGATTAATTGTATTAATTAAAAGTAGAAGGACTAAAGGTGAAAATATTTTAAAGTTATACATTGAGAAATTCTAGAACCTCCCATGAGAGGGGCGGTTTCTAGAGGGTTCCTAAAAGGTTTCTTGGGCTCTAAGGAAACCTTAGATGCCTTATGGAGGAAACTAATAGGGTAAGGGTCATCTATAAGGATCATGCCTTATATACAACCTCCCTAACACCTATATAAACCCCAAGGGTTTGGAATGTTGAAATTCACTTCTTCCCAAGAGTTATTTTCGAAATTTTCCTTCTTCCTCCTCTCTCCTCTTAAGCTTTTAATTGTTAGAGTTTGGGTGTGAACCATTAGAAGCACGAGATTTCTGGTTCTTGCTTTCTAAAGCTAGATCAACAAGCAATCGTTGTTTATTTACTATAATAAACAAAAAGGTATGTAATTTCTTTGAACCTTTCTTAATTTCGAAAATAGCAACATACATTCAGGGTTCTTGATATTCAATAGTTGTTTTACAAATCATAGTGAAAACATAGATCCTTTAGGGTGCATGTGAACTTATAGTTTTTGTTTTTCCACCAAATAGATTTTTTGTAACATATAAAACCAAACAAAAATATCTGATGATTGGGTGTTACACATAGATCATCGGCATGAAATGATATGTTTTAAACCCTGATTCACTAACTGCGCTTAAAATAAGCCATGATAGGTAAAAGAATTCAATATAATTAAATAAATAAGTTGACACGAGTAAACTAATAAAAATTAAATAGATAAGGTTAGAATCAAACTCGCTCAACCTAATCATCCTCATTCGTTAGAAGTCTAGTTACCATTGCTCTTGATCGATTTTAATATACATCAAATGCTTATCTTAGTTACAACTTTTCACAATCATCTATAAAATAATGAATTTACTTTGCAATTTCTATAAGACAATCTGGAGTACCCACCATTAACCAATAATACGGTGGGTATTAACTAATCACCACATAGAACCACTAACACTTCGCATACCTACTACTAAAACATCACTGCACATCATATTTTATTTAAATTTAAATAAAAAATACAATAAAAACATAGATATTTTTAATACTATTTTATCATTCAATAAAAAAGACATTACATTAATCTATAAAAATTGCATTAATTGAAAAAAAAAATGTGAATTTAAAAAAAAATACCAAAAATTATAAAAATTCCAAATATAGAAAATTACCCATATTCTTATATTTTTCTTGGACTAATTCTTTCAGTATGAGAAAAATCTCGAATCTTCGACCTTGTAGTCATCCACTTTCAAAATCCGGTGAATTTAAGGGTAAAAACGTGGTTATGAAGGTTGTGGTTGGAAATGTTGTTGGTATATGAAAAGGGTTTGGAATTGCTATGAAAAGGGTTGTTGATAGGGTGGGCAAGTTTGATTTGGTTGTTGAAAAAGTTGAGTTTGTTAGATAGAAGAATCACTTTCGCACAAATTCATAAAATCTCTTTGAAGTGATTTCATGTTCAATTATTGACAATGAATTGTATCTAATGGAAAATCGTTATCAGGCTTGTAATTTCCAAAATTTGATGGAGTATTTTAACTGGGACCTAGTTTTTGGATTTTAAAACAAGACAAATATGTATATTTGAATAGAGGAAGTGAATAATCTTAAGAAAAATAAATTGGCATGTAGTGTTGTTTATAGGTAAGGGTTCATTTTAAAAAATTAAAATAACCAAAACTAATTAGTCTTCCGAATCAAACAGCCAACATATTTGATTGGTCGTAGTATATCGTCGTTACTACCACAATCCATCATGAACACTAGTCACAATGAACACCAAATATGGTATTCGTGGTCATGGTTCGTTACCAGCTAGACGACGACTCCCTGCCGATTGGTCTAACGTCTTGGTCAATAGGCATCATTAATAACGAATTTACCATGGAATTTCCGTAACATCTAGGTCAACAGGCATCTATCATTTTCTTTAAAAGTCAAATAATATGACTTGAAGAATTGAAAAGTATACACCCTATTAATATTTGAAAGACATGTTCCACCATTTCCACGAATTAGAACCACGAATTTTTTAAAGATAAGAATAACATAAAATTTCTAATACCCAAACTAACAAGTATAAAAATAAAAATAGAATAAAAAATTATGTTGGTGATTCGTGATTGTAACTGAAAGTTAGAATGAAAACCCTCCATAGCCATGGCAGCACCTTCATGTTCGTATTCTCACTCTTCTTCTACCCTTTTCTTTCTCAAGCTATTGACACCATAACACCCACACAACCCCTCACCATCAAACAAACTCTAGTCAGTAATGGTGAAGTTTTCGAGTTGGGGTTCTTCGATCCAGGCAACAATAATTTGTATATAGGCATTTGGTACAAGCAAATTCAGCAGAAAACATACGTTTGGGTAGCTAATAGAGACAATCCCATTACTTCATCGTCCGGGAACCTAACCATCGCCAGCAACGGCAACATGGTGCTTGTAAATCAAACCGGAACTGTGGTCTGGTCGACAAATCAACCTACACAGGTGGTGAAGACGGTGGGGCAGCTTTTGGACACCGGTAACTTTGTGCTTCGTCCGGAAAACGATGAGAATCCGGAGAATTATATTTGGCAAAGCTTTGATTATCCGACTGATACTCTATTACCGGAGATGAAACTCGGGTGGGACAGGAAGTCTGGAATTCATCGGTTTTTGCGGTCGTGGAAGACGAATATCGTTCCATCCACCGGTGATTATTCTTTTAAACTGGATATCACTGGGTTCCCGGAGCTTGTAACGATGAACGACGAAACCATAACTTGGCGGACTGGGCCGTGGAATGGGTTAAGGTTTAGCGGCACACCGCAGATGGTGGGGTTGAATATAATGAAGTTTGAATTACAGGATAATTCCGATGAGATTACTTATTCTTTTGAAATGCTGGATAGTTCTATTTATTCGCGATTCGTTGTAAATTCTTCTGGTATTAGTCAAAGATTGGTTTGGGCCGAAACAACAAAAACCTGGAATACCTTCTGGTATTTCCCCGGTGATTTCTGCGATCAATTTGGTGAATGTGGTCCGTTCGGCGTTTGTGATACATCAACTGCACCGTTCTGCAATTGTATGACCGGATTCCGGCCCAAGAACAAACAAGCATGGGATCTACGAGATGGAAAGGACGGGTGTGTTCGGAGCTCCGTAATGGACTGTGGGTCGGATGGGTTTCTGCTATTGAAGAACATGAAATTGCCGGAGAGTTCAAACGCGTTTGTAGATCAGACGATTAATTTGAGCGAGTGTGGTGCAATTTGCAAGAAGAATTGTTCCTGTGCTGCGTATGCTAGTATGAATATCACTGAAGGCGGGTCGGGTTGTGTGATTTGGGTTGGAGATCTTATGGATATGAGGCACTATGTCGATTCTGAATATGGAGGGCAAGATCTTTACGTTAGAGCTGCAGCATCTGATTTAGGTATGTTCCTAAGATAGTTTTGTTTTGTTGGATGCCGGGTGAGATTTAAAACCGGAAAACCGAACCGATTGAACCGCAATATGCTAAACTGTTCCGGGGTTTGGGTTTTAATAATAACGTTATCCGTGTTTGGGGTATATATGCCTCTCTTAGTCTCTATCTCTCTCACACACATAGACAAAGACATACCTATAAGCCTTTTCTACTAAACTACGAGCATATGAAAATACATCTTCAATCTTTTCCAACCTACAACATATGAAAATAACATTTTTCTTCACCTACTCAACCTATTAAAGGCAGGTCCGTCCCAGAGGGTGGGCGATATCTAAATTTTTTTATAGAAATTGTTATAAAACCTTGATGACATTTGTGTTTTTTTAGAGCCCATTTTTTTCTCTTGCCCCGGGTTCAAGATATGTTTGGAACGGTCCTGATTCAAGATACACATTTGTGCATAAAGAACATGAAACAAAAACATGAGAAAAGTAGAGAGATGGACATATTAACGGTTTATGTGACCCGGTATCCTTTCTCATAGTTGAACCAAATTTTGCTCAATGCAATCTCCGTTGAGGTGTCACAGGTACCACCACCCGGTGGCTTCTTTCAGAGCCATTCCGACCACCTTTAGGATGGAGGGAGTGCATATCCCTCATCCTTCCCAATCCATTTTCCACTTAGGTTCCCCATTATCTTTTCTTTATCCTCTCACTTCCTTCCATCCAAACCCACAACACAAGTAATCCATCTTTCTCAACTTTTTCAACCTAAGCCTGACAATTGGTTTGCGTTCGGGTTGGTGGGTTGGCGGGCCACGAGTTGGCGGATTGAAAACATCAACCCAACCAAACTCATATAACCTGTATAAGTATATGAGTTTGTGGGTTCGTGGGTCAGTGGATCGAACCCAACCCGAATAACCCATTTAATAAGCTACACATTTTAAAATGAAATTAAAAAATGCAAATAAATTGAAGTCATAAAGTCTTAAATATTCAGCATCGAGTCATAAATAGGAGTGACAACGATGAGTGGTGTGCAACACCCGGAGGACGAGAAGACGAGTGGTGTGCATGCGACACTGCGACAGTCGATGACTCGATGTCTCAATCGATGGAGATGGGAGATATGGAGTCATGAATTTGGAGACTAAAGACTGAATTTCTTTTTGATTAGAGGATTCTTAGATGATAGGACACACTAATACGACTCGAAGATGTTTTGCAGTTTTAGAATTCGAAAAACGATTAAACAATAATCAAATATTCAAAACAGATAAATAATTAAATATATTTTTTAAAGATAATATATATATATATATATATATATATATATATATATATATATATATATATATAATCGGATTGGCGGGTTGACCCGCGAACCAAACAAGTAACCCAACCCAACCCATGAAATAAACGGGTTGGTGGTCAAAAATCTCAACCCAAACCCGTTTATTTTCGTGTTGGATAGTGTCAGGTTGCGGGTTGGGTCAAGGATTACCACCCTTATTTCAACCCACATAATTTTATTTTGAAAAACTATTAAAACATTTACAAACTTAAAAGTAAATAAATAAAACTAAATATAAAAACACCATTTCATCATAAAAACACACTACTACAAATGTAAATTTTAAAACCTAAAACCGATAATTGAAATGGTTAAATGATAGTAATTAAGTATGACTATGTGCACCCTCAAAACTCATACTAATTAAGTAACTATAGTTGAAATTAATGAGAATATGCTCTCAAAGCTAATCTTTCAATGGCCTCCTAGCAAATTTCTTTTGGTCATTTCTTATTCCCAACTAGCTAAATACTCCCAAGTTCATGGAAAAAAAAAATTACAAATCAAATATGAACCTTCAGATTTTGGATTTAATTTAAATGTAAGTTTAAGTATAAACAATCATCATAATAAATAATATGCATCAATAATAAAGTCATGAAATTTTAACAACATATCATAATCATATTTTTGAAGTCAGTTGTATCTATAGTTTCAATATCTTTCTACTATTTGCAACAGTATTAGACGTGTGTATATATATATATATATATATATATATATATATATATATATATATATATATATTGAGGTTGTAGAGTGAAAATATGTTTTGTATATATATATATATATATATCCTTGTACTCGTTATCTTATAAAGCAATTACAATATTCAATTACCAAGTTTATCTTGGTATTAGAGCCTAACCCTAATCTACCCTACGGTTGCCTCTTCCCTGCCTCATCTCTCCTGTGTGTCAACAATTGATACACTCACCCTTCTCTTCTCTTTGATTAATACATGGCTCCTATTACTCCTTTCTCTTCATCTGAGAAAACCTCTCACAATTCACACAAGTTCGGATTCACCTTATCACCAACAAATTACGGGTATTGGAAAACAATGATCCAACCCTTCCTAATCACAAACGATTTGTACGGTTATGTTGATGGTTCCATCGAATGTCCTCCAGCAATTACAGTCACCACCACTTCATCTGGTAAAGATGGCCAACAGGTGTCATCATCTCAACCCAATCCAGAAAACGCAGCATGGGTTCACAATGATGCCCACGTACGGATGCTGATTTTGTCTACTATCTCTGAAGCATCTTTTCAACATGTTCAAGGTAATTCATCTCGTGAACTTTGGCTGTCCCTTGAACGAGCTTATGCACCCCATACTTCTTCACGTGAATACACTTTAAAAACACAACTTTTAAAGATAACAATGATGGGTGATGAATCCTCTTCTGCCTACTTGACTCGTGCACAAGAATATTCTGATGCCTTAGCAAACATTGGTGAACCCATCAAGGAAAAAGACCTTGTTATGCTGGTTATTTCAGGACTTAGGGATGAATACAATGGCCTTAAATCCACGCTCCTAGCACGAAAATTCCCCACTGCCTTCTCAGAACTCCATGGCCTCTTGGTAGATCATGATTTCATGATCAAAAAAATGCCCACCGAAGTCTCGCCTGCCCAAGCCTTTATGACTGCTGTTCCCTCTCATAAATCTAGCACAACCGGGTCATCTCTCCCCACTGAAACTCTTCATGTTGTTCAGCAACTTGCTCAACAGTTGGGTTTCCAACTTCAGCCACTGACAAACATATCCTCGCCACAAGCTCACTACACATAACGCTCGGGAAACAATCGGGATCGCCTTTTCAATAACAGATCTGGTCGTGGGAGAGGAAACCGACAACAAGGAAGGGGAAACCGATCTCAATTCAGTTGGGCTTCCAACCAAAATACAGTTTATGGTACATGTAATCGGTGTGGCATAGGTCACGTTCCGTCTGAATGCCCAAACCGTGACCCCTCAACTATGCGACCAAAAACACAGCCCTCTGCGAATTTTGCAGACTTCCGCTCACAAACAGGTTCTTGGCTACCTGACACTGGTTCGATTCATCATGTTACCCCTGATATTTCTACATTTGAAAATTATGACACTTATTATGGCAATGACAACATTCACGTTGGCAATGGTACAGGTTTGCCCATCCTCCACATTGGTTCCTCTAAACTTTATGCTCCCACAAAATCTTTCTCGCTTACAAACATCCTTCATGTTCCCAAAATTAAACAAAATCTGCTCTCTGTTCAAAATTTTTGTCAAGACAATAACGTCTATTTTGAATTTCACACCTCCTTTTTTGCTGTGAAGGACGAGATAACTCACACCACCCTCCTCACGGGTCCAAGTAAAGGCGGTCGTTATTCATTCGAGCTTCCGCGGATACAACCAATTCCAAAAGTTGCTTTCTCTACTACTTGTGCCTCTTCCATCACTTAGCATCAACGCTTGGGACATCCTCACTCTCAGTTGTTGAAGTCAATGTTATCCAAATACCGTTTACCTTTACTAGATAATTTTAGTTCTTTTAATTGTGATTCTTGTTCCATTGGGAAGTCATCAAAACTTCATTTGTCATCTTCCACTTATAAAAGTTCAAACTTTTTGGATTTATTGTTTTGTGATGTTTGGGGCCCTGCTCCTGTTACCTCTTTTGATGGGCACCGTTATTTCATGTTATGTGTTGATCATTTTTCTCGCTTTATGTGGATATTTCCATTAGCAACCAAAGCTGATGTGTGTGACACCTTTAAGGCATTCATGATTACTGTTGAAAGACAATTCCAATCTAAAATAAAGTTTGTTCAAACAGATTGGGGCGGTGAATTTCGCAACCTTTCCAAGTTCTTCTCAACACTCGGCATCACTCATAGACTCTCATGTCCACACACAAGTGAGCAAAATGGTATCGTTGAGCGCCGACATCGTCATGTTGTCGAAACCGGTCTCACGTTACTTGCCCAATCTCATGTTCCATGTCGTTTTTGGCACTTTGCGTTTGATACAGCTGTTTATCTTATTAACCGCATGCCATCTCGAGCAAACTCCAATATCTCACCTTTTGAACATGTCTTCAAACACACCCCCGATTACTCCTTTTTACGGGTTTTTGGTTGTCGTTGTTACGCACATCTTCGTCCATACAACAAACATAAAATGGACTTCCGATCCATGCCGTGTGTTTTCCTCGGCTATAGCACATCTCATCATGGTTACCGGTGTTTTGATCCCCAATCTGAGCGAATATACATTGCTCGACATGTGCATTTCCATGAAGATTCCTTTCCATACCATACCATTTCCTCTCCAAACCCACCTGCACCTACATCAGCCAATCCGTATGTCTCATCCTACCCTAACATCCCACCTGACTTGAACTACTTAAACACACCTCCCTTACCACAACATCCATCGTCATCACCAGACCCTGAAATTGCACATGGAACGCCACCATCACCTGACCAGCAGTCAACGAATCCACCTTCACAACAACATCAACCATCATTAACGCAACATCCGACACCCCCACCCCCACCCCCACCCCCACCACCATCACCACCTCTGCCACCCCTTATTTATACTTATGCTCGCAACACCCATTCTCGGTCTACCATACCCACACCAACTACACAATCTGATATGCCTCATCCTCGTCCCTCAAACCTTCGCCCTAATCCCAAACCAGTTAAACGTTCCTTTCATAGACATATCAGCACACCTGAAACAGAACCTGCCACATTCAAAGCTGGACACAAGGACCCAAAATGGCAAAAAGCCATGCTAGATGAATACTCGGCACTTCTACGAAATGGTACTTGGACATTGGTACTACGGCCACCAAACTCAAATATTATTGACTGTAAATGGGTGTATAAACTCAAACGGGACCAAACAGGGGCAGTGTCACGATACAAAGCACGCTTAGTTGCCAAGGGGTTTCGCCAACAACACGGTATCGATTATCAGGAAACTTTTAGCCCGGTCGTTAAAGCCACCACCATTCGGGTCATTTTATCCTTGGCGGGCACACAAAAATGGCCCTTGCGACAGCTTGATATTCAAAATGCATTTTTGCATGGAGATCTCCATGAAACCGTTTATCTTCGACAACCTGAAGGATTTGTTGATTCTGCCAGACCTGATCATGTGTGCCTTCTCCGTAAGTCTCTATATGGCTTAAAACAGGCTCCACGAGCGTGGTTTCATCGGCTTTCTACGACACTTTATACTCTCGGATTTCAAGCCTCCAAAACAGACCCATCCATGTTTATTTACTCTTCCAGAGGCATTCTTCTTTACATGCTTGTTTATGTGGACGACATTATATTAACGGGAAATAGCCCTGCTGACATTGAGCGTGTTATTCAGACTCTTAGCCAGACTTTTTCACTTCAAGATATGGGCTTTTTATCCTATTTTTTGGGCATTGAAATTGTTAAACAAGGACCTGATCTGCTTTTTTCTCAAAAGAAATACATTCTTGACATATTGGAACGTGCTGGTCTTTCGCATGCAAATCCAGTTTCAACGCCTCTTACCACTACATCAAACCTCTCACTTGGCGATAGTCCACAGTTTGATAATCCGGTACAATATCTCCAGATCGTTGGAGCTCTTCAATATGTCACTTTATCTCGTCTAGACATTATGTTTGCAGTTAACAAAGTCTGTCAGTTCATGCATTCTCCCACTCAAAATCATTGGTCCGTTATGAAATGAATTCTAAGATACTTGCAAGGTACTGTTTCCTATGGTCTTCTGATTAAGAAAGAGTCGGCTACACTTTTACATGCATACACAGATTCAACTTACACTCCGTTGAATGCTTTTTCTGATGCGGACTGGGCTGGTTGCCCGGATGACCGCCGATCCACCAGGGGATACGCTATCTACCTTGGCTCTAATCTTGTTTCATGGTGCGCACGAAAACAAAAGACTGTCTCGCGGTCATCCACAGAGTCTGAATACAAAGCTCTTGCTGATACGGTTGCAGAACTTACATGGCTTCAAGCACTCTTACGTGAACTTCGTGTCTCTACTCCTTCTGCTCCAATTTTATGGTGTGACAATCTAGGAGCCACGTACCTAACCGCGAATCCTGTCTTCCATGCACGTACTAAACATGTTGAAGTTGATTTTCACTTTGTGCGAGAGAAGGTTGCCCGACGACAACTAACAGTTCAGCATATATCCACAGATGATCAAATTGCAGATATATTTACAAAACCCCTATCCTCACAGCGATTTCTATTCTTACGTGACAAGCTACAGGTCGCTACTCGACCTTAGCTTGAGGGGGAATATTAGACGTATATATATATATATATATATATATATATATATATATATATATATATATATATATATATATATATATATATATATATATATATATATATATATATATATATATATATATATATGTTGAGGGTGTAGAGTGAAAATATGTTTTGTATATATATCCTTGTACTCGTTATCTTATAAAGACCAAGTTTATCTAATAGTAATATAACATACATCAACAAAATACTTAATAACATATAAATGTATTATATATAGACAATCGACAATTTAAATAAAAGAAAACACCATAAGTGCATGTAATGTATACTGCTACTAATATTAAATATAATAAATAAGCTTACAATGAAAAAAAATAATCAATTACTTGGAAGTTGAAAATTCCCAAACTATAGTAATATAATCAATATCAACGACATGTTATTATATATATATATATATATATATATATATATATATATATATGGGAAAAGTGAATATACCCTTAAGGGTATATAAACTTAGGTACCCAAATTCACCATAAAACGTTGTTTTGTGTCATATAATACATTCTAATTGTCCACTATTCTTATAATTTAACTTCTAACTTGATTTACTTCAATGATTTTCATAAATTACATATTTATCTTTCTCTTATATAATTTTCATTTTCAACTACAATATATGTAGCCTAGTAGGTGGTCAGCAAAAATATTTGATGTAAGAGGAATGTAATAATGAAATTTCGAAAACTTTGAAAGTAAATCAAGTTAGGGGTTGAAGTTTAATAACATTATAATGAATATCAAAGAAAACGACGTATTATGGTGTGTTTGGGTACCTAAGCTTATATACCCTTAAGGGTATATTCACTTTTCCATATATATATATATATATATATATATATATATATATATATATATATATATATATATATATATATATATATATATATATATATATATATATAATCACAATTTTACACAAAAAGAAACACTATAAATACATTTAATGTTTATTGATACTAATATTAAACTTATAAATAAGTTTACAATGTAAAAAATAACCAATTAATTTGAATTTGAAAATATCCAAAGTAGAGCTTCATATTCTCAAATCTTTTTGTTTCTCTATACTGTTATTCACATCCTAAAATACTCATTTACCTAAAGGTAAATATATAAATGTTTGTTGTGAGCTAAAGTTATCTATATACTACTAAAATAAGTTACACAGTGTAGAAAATAAAAAAAATAAAAATTAGTGGTCATTACTAATCAACGATGGATCATATTTTAAGTACTTTTGAAACTAAGTACACATAAATTAAAAAAACTTTTGAGTTTTAATAAAATTTTAAAATGAATGTGGTCTTTATATATATATATATATATATATATATATATATATATATATATATATATATATATATATATATATATATATATATATATATATATATATATATATATATATATATATATATATATATATATATATATATAAGCGGACAAACTATGTGTTTTATAAATATTCATGTTTTTAGACAACAAATAAATAAAAACTTTAATTCATCAATCCTGTAGGAACCACGATCACAAGATTAACTAAACTTTCATATTAAAAAATTCAAAAATTATTAATCAGATAATTTACATAATTTTTAAATAAGTTATTAATTAAGAGATAGTTTTATTAGTTATGTAAAATTATAATCATTGATTCAAATAAATATATGAAATTAAGTTTCAATATATATATCAGACAACTTTTATCTGTGAATTAGTGAAAACAATAATATAAAATTTAAAATTTAAAATTTAAAAAGAAAAATAAATAAATTGACAAATAGCATCTAATTAATTAGGAGGTCTAATAAATTTAAAACGAAGAATTAATAGATTGACAAGTGTTAGGATGTCTAATATTATGTCGCATGATAAAATAACTACTCTTTTATTAGTATCCTCCATAATAAATCAATTTTTTTTGTCAAATATCGTCTTCTCCTTCATTTGGATACATTACATTTTCTAGAATTTTTGAATTTTCTATTTTTCACTTGTCATTTTATTTTATTTTTCATTTTATTAAATTAAAATTTCATATTTAATATGTAAGGTAATATATATGTAATGTATTTATTAGAAAGAGTTTATAAATGTAGTGTATTCAATATATTAAAGTCTCATTAATTTTTATAATTTAAAATTTTTCTCATTTTTTTTTATAAATTCAAACTTCTCAAATTGTTAAAATTTCATATTTAATTTTGTTTTTAAATAAAATCATATAATGTATGAATCTTACACCTAGTAGGGAGATATACGAGCACTACACTTGGTTATCTTGGGAGACATGTCAAATTACACTTTAGGAACTTATATCATGTATTAAAGTAGTAGTTATGCTTTATTTTGCAATTATAGACATTAATAACTATGAGTTCTTTATTGCAGATCAATCAGTAGGAGCCGGAAGTTTAAAAAAGGGTTCCAACAATGGCAACCACGTTGGTAAGATTGTCGGCATCACCATCAGTACTTGTGTGGTGCTCACATTTCTACTTATTCTCGTCTACTTGAAGAGGAAGAAAACAAGAAATCTGAAAAAATCATTTAATAGAACTGGTAAGTAGGACCAACTCCTTGAGCTACTCTTAGACTAATCGGGACTAACTCATTAAAATTTTGACTACGAGTTTAATTATATTTCCAGGTTTTTTTTTATTAAAGTTAGATCCTGAGATTCGTTATGCGAGCTCGATTAGGCTCACGAGTAGAGATCCACAAAACCCGAATCCGATTCGATCCGGTTTCGCTTCCGTCATCAAGAATCCGATCCAGTCAAAATTCGATCTGGATCCGGTCAAAATCCGATCCGGATCCAATCACAATCCGAATCCGATTCTAATCGGGTTAAACCGATTTTAGTGGGTTATAAGCGGATTTTGGAGCAGATTTGGATCCGGTTTTTAGCAAATCCGGTTTACGATCGGTATCAAATCCGATTTGAAATGTAGGATTAGGATCCGATTGAAAATCCGGTTTTGAATCCGATCCGATCGGTTTGGTCAAAACCGGTTTTGACCCAATCTAGTTTCGAATTGGATCCGGTTTTGAATAGTGAAACCGGTTTTTGTGTACGGCTCTACTCATGAGCCTAAACTAGCTTATGTATTTTTATATAATATAACTTTTTTTTAATGTTTTATATTAAACTATTGATAAATATTAATTACCAAATAATTTATATATTAAGTTATTGCTAAATATTGTACAGACTTCTTAATGAGTTGTGCCTAAGCCGAACTTAGGCTTATCTACGCTAGCCTGACAAACGATTTGTGTCTAAACTAGAACATGTTAAATCATCCATAAATCGATGTCAAGCTTTTAAAGTTAGCCTATAATCGAGCTGAACTCGTGCTCGAATAAAACAAATATCATTCCTCCAAATATGGATTAACACTATTTATTTTTCAAAAATAGATTTGAAGTTTTATTTGTCGATTTTAATCCATTTTTATATATATCTAATTTATTTTTATCTATTAGTTATAATTTAAATGTAATATTAATATTTAAAGTATCATGTTATATATTAAATTACATTAATTAATAATAATTATAAAGTTTGATATTTATGCATTAAAATAATAAAATATATTAAATACATATTAGAAATTTAAAACATTGTAATATAGTTTATAAATGTGTGTAACATGTATTAGTTCTTTCAATAATGTGTAATATTTTAATAAATATACGTAATATTTATTTAAAAGTGTATTATAAATATATATATTTTTTAATAAATTTATAAATAATTCAAATTCATTATATACGAACAATTTATTTTATTATAATTTATGATAACATATTTTATAATATTATTGTAATGGAAAAAAGATAGAATATATATATATATATATATATATATATATATATATATATATATATATATATATTAAAATTTAATTAATAAAAAGGTTATAAGAATGGAAAACACTTTTGTGGTAAAAAATGAAACATTACTTATCTTTTTTTTTTAGGGAAAAATAAAAGTTGGTTGGAAATGATATTACAACTAGTTGTTTTATAAATTTATTAAAAGATGGTATATTTATGATATAAGATCCGTCCAATGTCCATTTTGGTTTTAATAAGTGATTAACCGATGAAGTAACTGATAACCACATTAACCCATAAACATTTTCTAATATTAGAGAAAATTTCAGCTACAAGACTAAAACCATTTCGATATATGTTTTGATTTTAAACAAAACGAGTTTTCATTTTTAAAATCAAAATAGTATCTGTTTGTAATTCATATGTTCTTGATATATTTTGTTATGATCTAAATTAGGTCCGCAAGAAAGAACCGAAGATTTCGTTGTAAATAAAGGGGTAGTTGTACAAAGTAGAAGAGATTATTACAATGAAACGACCATGGATGAACTTGAATTACCATTGTTCGATTTTAGGACACTGGCTATGGCAACAAACAACTTCTCGGATACAAATAAACTTGGTCAAGGTGGATTCGGGTGTGTTTACAAGGTAAATTACTTGTTCAAAAGTATCTGATCCAAAATCTGATCAAAAAATCTAAACATTTTAAATCGAATGATAATTTTCCGAAATTTTAGATACACTGACTATCTAAAAAATCTGAAATATACATATTTTAATTCCAATTCGTTTATGCTATAATATTAGCATCTTTTATTTTGTAATTATTTGAGTATCGAGACCAAACAATTGAAGACATGTTTTTAGTGGTTAATTTTCTTTATACGCTTAAAATGGATAGAGGTTCAAATCGTTGGCAAGATTATGCAATAAAGATGTAATGCTGTCCAAATGCTGTATGGATGGAAGTATAGAACTAATATGTGATTATATTGTGTTAAATATAAAATAGTGTACATTTCTAGGTTAAAATTTCCACTATCCAATATTTTTATTTAAATCTTTAGATATCTAATTTAATAATTAAATTCATATCTGAAAATTTGGATATCTATATCTAGTGTATGAAATATGGATCTTCGGAATTTTTAATATCATGTTTGAACACTCCTAGTTATAATTAATATTAATACCAGATGATACAACATAGAACCATAAAGAAAAGTGAAAAAAAATGTTCGTGATGTAGGGTACATTAACAGAAGGCGAAGTTGTAGCTGTAAAAAGGCTCTCAAGAATTTGTGAGCAAGGTATAGAGGAACTTAAAAACGAGGTCCGATTAATCGCAAAACTCCAACATCGAAACCTTGTTCGTGTATTAGGTTGCTGCATTGAGGTTGAAGAGAAGTTGTTGATTTATGAGTTCATGGAAAACAAAAGTCTTGATATGTTTCTTTTTGGTAAGTTTTTAACGGTATTGCGTCTTTTTTTTTTTTTTTAACTTTTTATACTCATGTTTTTACATGACAAAATCTAATTGTGTTCTTTGGTAATCATCATAGACAAAGAGAAAAATGTGAAACTCAATTGGAAAATGCGACTCGATATTATACGTGGGATTGCACGAGGGCTTCTTTATCTTCACCAAGATTCAAGATTTAAAATCATTCATCGAGATATGAAAGCGAGTAATATTTTGCTTGATAAGGACATGAACCCAAAGATATCAGATTTTGGTATTGCAAGAATTTTTGGGAGAGATCAAACAGAAGCAGAAACAAAAATAGTGGTTGGAACGTAGTAAGTATCATTGTACCATGTGAAAAATATAAATATTTATGAGACAAATGATATAATATGGTTTTTAGATAGTTTCAATTATTATTATTATTAATATTATTATTAACAAATTTCTTGTAGTGGTTATATGTCACCTGAATATGCGATGGATGGCCATTTCTCCACAAAATCTGATGTTTTTAGTTTCGGGGTTTTAATTCTGGAGATAGTGAGCGGTAAAAGAAATAGAGGTTCATCCAACACAACTAGCCAACTTAACCTTCTTGGACAAGTAAGTACTATTAGTGACCAATTGAGAACTTAAAAGGTGAATTTTAATGGGTACATGTCTTGTTAAAGTATTGTGTTTGTAACAAAAACAATGCGTATTTTTAGGCATGGAAGATATGGAACGAAGACAATGCTTTAGAACTACTAGACGAATCTATTAGAGCCAAATTTTCAGAAAATGAAGTATTGAGGTGCATACAAATTGGATTATTATGTGTTCAAGAACAATCGGAAGATAGGCCTGATATGGCAAATGTGGTGTTGTTATTGAGTAGTGAAAATGTACGAATGCCACAGCCAAAACATCCTGGATTTTTTATTAGAAAAATTAACAAAGAAATTGAGTATTCGAGCAAAGATGACGATTCCAAGACCATAAATGGAATCACAATATCGATACTAGATGGTAGATAGCGAAAATAAGATAGTTGTCATCTAGTATCAATTATCCATCATATTTTCCCTTCTTCTTCGATCCTTAATTTATTTTAGGATCAAAATTTCATCATGTATCATCTTATTAGAATGTTTTCATTATCTTCATTTCTTCTTGTCAATTTCTCCTTTAGTCTGAATTATACAAACACATGACAGCTAGATTATTATAACCAAAAAGTTTATCTGTCAATCGTTAAAACTCTAAGTATGTCAAATTTAGAATTTGTTCAAATCTGAAAGTTGTGTTTATGCTAATAGTTATTATTATTTTTTTCAAGATTATCGTTGTCATGTTTTTTATATCCAATTATATCTATATCTTCAACTTCTTTCTTTTCTTCAAACTCTTCAAGAACAGAAAAAAAAAGAGCATAATTTTCGAATAAAGCCTCATTCTTCATCCAGTCCTCCTTAAAGATTATGTTATATATAGTTAAGAATACAAAATCATCCATCGATTCAAAGGATAGTAAGAATGACAACATCCAACCATTATTTTTGATGTTAGCCTTCAACTAAGAAGATTGCATCATGTCAAAAAAATATTGTTGATTCATAGGAACTTGATACGCATTACCGGACCAAATACCCACTTTATTACACAACTTTTTTGCAACTAGCATGAAACAAAAAGGTATGCTCATGTTTCAGTTTGCAATTCACAACGGGCATGCGTACGATACAACTAAGTCCAGACGTTCATTTGATCTAAATTTGCATGTCTTGAGAACTCGTCTAAACCAACTCTACAACCAAAAATGTTTACTTTGACACTTTCAAACTCTCTTCGACATACAACCCCAAAGAAAGTACTTTGCCTTTTGAGTTTTGACCTTGAGTGATTGTTCATTGGGGAGGATTTGCTATTTATATGATCCTTTTTCAATAAACAAGAGTTTATATCTCATCATCAGATTACATCGTATGTACATGCATTTGTATTTTTAGTATTTTTCTTCTTCTCCGGTTTGACCATTTTAATTAAAAACGATCCATTAACTCCACACAAAAAGAACGGATTTAAGTAAAAAATTTCAACCGGTTAAAATACATAATATAGAAATTAAACAAGTAAAGCTATAATCAAGTTTCAACCCAATTAAGTAATCAATTTGACACAAGAATACACCCTTTGATTGCTAACTAAACGTAATATAATGGTAAAAAGGGGTATCGATCCTCGGGGAAATGGTTGTATTCAATCACCAATGCAATTTAATAGAACTAGTGAAATTAAACTAACTAACTACAATTAAAATAAAAAGGGGGGTGTTTGATTACTTGATAACTAAAATACTTGAATAACTAAAAACCTTGCAATTAAGCAAGTTGATGAGATGCTCAAAGGTTGTGAATAATTGGTTAACTAAGGCAATTCAACACAATGAACATTTGTGTGTTTATCATTAGGATCTAATACAAAGCTTATCTTTCATCCCAAATTGGTTATAGCAATCATGAAGCATGATATGCCAAGATTCCTCATAGATAGTATGGAGGTTGGGGAAGCCCACAACACACCTTCTTAATTAAGATCAAGGGTCAATTGAAGCAATTAATCCCAAGAAATCAATTAGCTTTAAGAATGAAGGAATCCCCAATTCCTAGAGGATGTCAAATGCTTACACATCCATAAAGGAGATATGATTCACAAGCTAGAGATGATTTCTACCATCATAAAGCCTTTGTTCTAGATAAATTCAATGATCCAATGCAAAATCAATGAAATAAATCAACTATTGCTCAATCAAATACTAAGCTCATGATCAAAGTATCAAATAAGCATAGGAATTGCAAACTAGAATCATAAACATGGAATAAATTAATAATCAACATAAATCCTTCAAAACCCACAAACATTCATTGGTTTTCAGCCAAAATTAACCAAATAAGAGTATTAGCCACTCATGGCAACAAAGAAACAAGAACAATAATCTAATTGCATAAAGAAACTACCTAAGATTTGGAAAGATGAAAGGAAATGAACTTTTGCTCCCAAAATCGCCTCTTGCAGGTCTCTAATGGTGGAAAAAACGTGAATGAGCCTCCAGATCTGATCCCCAAGGGTTAAGGCAAGCCAAATGACCAAAATGCCCAAACTGGGCAGTTGCGCGGGTACCCGCGGACGGAAATTCCACCCGCGCAAATGTTGCTGTAATGCTATTGGTCCACCAAGCCACTACACCCTTCCACTACCAAAGATTCCTTTGGTCCCCCCTCCTTTTCCCTGTAATTTGAAATGCACCAATCATCATTTAGCCACCAAATGGATGCTCCAAGCCCAAAATTTGAATTTTATGATCCATCTTCACAAGCCCAAATAATCCAAGCCAATATCTTTCAAGGCCCAATTCATCCTCTTTGATTCCGCCAAGCCCAATAATGCCTCGGGAGCCCACTAAGCCCGTCTCCGATCAACCCGCAACCGCAACAAGCACCGAAAAACCTACAAAATATCTTATGCAACATAACAAGCACCCGGTACGATCCAAACTAAAGAAAATAAATAAAATACAATGCATTAATGATAAAAAGATCTAAAAAACTAAAATAAACTAATAAAAATAAGGAAATAAAATAAGCTATCAAATCACCCCAAGCTTAAACCTAACTTGTCCCCAAGTTAGAACAAGACTAAAAATGAGCTCGGGATGAACTATCTAAAAAGGAAAAAGAAAGATACCATAGAACTTGGTCAACATCAGTCAACATGGTCAGAATTAGTCCTTCAATGGACCCTACGCATCTTCAAAATGTTCCCCGCTTTAGAGCCATAAACCACATTCTCAACCACTTGATGGGCGAATAGATCACGGCTGGATGCGGTCGCGGTGTGCAAGACAAAGGAAACAGAGATGCGCCCAGTGGGGGCACTTTAAATCACCAATGTAGACCATAGTGCACGAAGGAAAGGCGCCTCTTCACACACTATGATTCCTACATTTGTCAGGCCAAAGTGTATAATAACGAAATAGGGTTTTGTAGCACGGCCTCCGGGCAAACATCCGGTTTCAGAGGCTTCTCCCTTGTACTGTCCTTTACAGTCTACCGTCTCATCGTCGGGGCCTTTTCTCACCAAAAATCAAAAATAAAATAAAATAATAAAAATTATACTTAACCTAAATCTAAACCTAACAACCTAAATCTTCAATCTTGAACTTCTGTTATTGGGTCTTCAGTCACATTTGCTGCTTGTCATCTAGTTTTTTTTTTTTTTTTTTTTTTAATAAACTAGATATATAACATAAGTCTTGAACTTGGAATCTTGTTCTTCTTCTTGTGTTGCTCTTTTTCTTCATTTTTTTTCTTTGTTTTTGTTGCTTTTCTTGAATCATCTTTAATAGGCTCTTATTTTCTTCACTTTTTCCAAATTTCTTCATTCTTTGTGTTGCTTCTTGAAAGGTCTAAGGAATTTCACCAAGTAACATAGGACTCCAATAGTGAAAATTGAGTGATAGATGGAGGCTAATATGAAAACCTAATGATCATCGACAATGTGCCAAGATCAACTAAAAAGGGTAGGGAATGACTCAAAAATGGGTGTTACCGAAAAGACTTGGTCCCAAAAGATGTGAATTGGGGGACCCACTTCAAAGTTCATCAAGCACCTCAATGCAAGGTGTGATAAACAAAATCTATCTAACTATCTATTAGACCCCTAGAAAAATGATAACCTATCCTAAAAAGGCGGTGAGAATCTAACTAAACAAGGCTCGGACGAGACTCGGGAGTACTAAGGGGTACTCCCTCCAAAACCAAGATGCGAGTCTTCAATATCTTCAATGTCTTCAAAATACCTTACCGGGCTAGTCTTTGCTCGCACACATTGGCATGACCAACCACATCCCTCCGCACCTAGACCCAATCAAGCTACCTGCATCTGACCCCCACACAAGCGGTCTCAAAGTGGTCTGTGAGGCTCAAAACGTGTCCCATTCATCAAATACAAGGAATTCCATATCAAGACCCAGGACCAATCTATGATTCAATACTTATGACTCGGCGCTATGGTACCTGTAGGGATGAGAAGACAAGAGAGAACAAAAATGCATGAACTTAAACTAGAATGCATCTAAAAAGTATGAAAATTAGAAAAGAAAGAAAGAAAATATGCAATATTTTTGAATTTTTTTTATGCAATTTTTATGAATGCCCTAAATGACTAACTCTAAATGCAACTATATACAACCTAAATGCAATAAAAATAAAAGATTAGATTACCTCACCCCAAGCTTAAAATTAAGCATTGTCCTCAATGCTTAGGATGAGAGTAAGGAAGGATCATACCGGGATCAAGATGGAGGAGGCCCACGAGGAGGATAACCGTCCTTGGGCCGAAAATGATACCATAGGTCCTCCATGTAAGTGTGGGTGCGTGCTTGTTGTTCCTCTATGCGGTGGATGGCTACGGTGTTTCTATTGCCTTGAAGGCGCAAGGAAGCAAGCTGGCTGTAAATATCGAGAGGAAATTCGTGTGCAGGGTCGGGCTCATTGGGTTGCTGGTGTGAGTGGTAGTCATACTGTGGCTGGAAGTGTTCTCGCGAGGGCTGAAAGTGTGATCCGGAAGCTTGAGCTGGATGAGGTGGAGGTAGCTGACGGATTGGAAGATCATAATGGTCTTCAGCTTCGAATGGGCTATCAGCATTGTCAGGATCCACGTGCATGTCATCATTCGCAGCTGCATCATCATCATCTGGCAAGTCTTGAGGCAAAAACCATGTTTCGGGGTCATTGGTGGTGAAGATGGAGAGACTTGGATTGGGTAAGATGTATACTGGGTCCTTGACATGGTTTAGCCAAGAGAAATGTCCAAGAAGATTAGGATGAGGTAGAATTAATTCCATCCGCATGAGAGTAATGCAATCGAGAAGGTAAAGAGGTGGATCATCCACTGGTACATATTCAGATGCTGGAAATTGAAGGCCCATACCCAAACCAATGAGGGTAATGAGACCTCCAATACAAATGTCACCAGTGGTCTTCGTCCTTAGGCTATCACATTTGTCTAAAAAGAAGGTGGCGAAATCGGGCAAAGACCAACGGTGGCGCGACATGCAATAGAGAAAATACAGCTCAACGGTGTTGATTTGTCCCGGCTCGTGACGAGCAAAGATAGATGCGGATAGGATCCGGTGGGCAATTCTCCAGCAAGGATGCATGATGAACGGGTCTTTTTGGCGACTGGGATTGAACTTGGGCAAGCTCGTGATTTGGGTCCAAAATTCTACGT